TCTTTATTTGACAACTTATGATGGCTCTAAACTGAGTCACTACTAGAGCTGTAGTTCTCAAAGTCTTTGTGCTGTGATCTAATTTTTCCCATGCCAGCTCAGTCCCAACCCTATATTAAGTATAGTTTTAAATTAACGCTAAGATCAAGCACGCGGTGCACTCTGAAGTTTACACTAATCTATGCCTATTGCACAAATCTGATTGGATGTGCCAGTGAATTTTAAATTAAGCATCTGTGGTTTGGCTTCTTGGATTGGTTGAGTGTTCGTTCATTTTACGCTAAGCATTTGCAGACCCAAGACCTGTTTATATAGGTTAATTCTAAGATTGGGGCTGGGAAATCTGATCGTGGATCAGCATAGGAGCTTGCTGGTTTTAAAATGCTTATATTTCCAGCTCTGCTTTGCAACCCATTCAGAACTTGCCGATAGCTTGCCGAAATCTGGGTCACCACCCATGGCTTGAGGATTGCTGTGCAGGTCACCTGCCTTCTTGCTCTAGATGATTTTCCTGCAATACCTGTGTCCCCTGATAAGAAAAACGTTGATCTCAGCAGGTTCTACAAGAATCACTGTGACTTGACAGCTCTCCTGCAGACACCTGATTTTGGCTGATCTTAGCTGATTTTGGCTGATTTTGCTCTCCATTGTCTGATTCCCTGAGCAGTCTTCTGTCTCTGTTCTCTCGTAACAGGGGAAGCTGAATGGGCTGATCCAAAACCCCAGTGCTCAGGACTTCATCCACTCTCTCTTCTCCATCCTGAGCTTTGTGAGTCCCTGCTTTACCGAGATCTGTCTTCTTTTCTTGCACTACTTACTTGCATTCATCAGGGTTTGTCCTGGTCTGACGTCTTGCTTTACAGAGATGTTGGTAATGCAAGCACAGGGAACTGGATACCTCACATAATGACAGAGTAACCCAGTACCCATATACTGAATTGGATACCCGTTTAAATGAGGTTGTGAGGACATCTAACTGCATGTCTGCAATAATTATGATTATCTCTATCTGATTGGATACCGGAAATAGCAAGTTAATGACATGGTAGTAATTTCCTGATGTAATCTACACAGTCATGGCCATCCTGAGCTCAGGTGCCCTAAGATCCTGTCCCCTTCCTCACCACACAGATAGTGCCACACTACCCCTCCGAGGTGCCACCCACCATCGTAGCTCCTCTGCTCACCGATCAGACCATCCGGCTCCTCAGCGAGGAGGCCACTGCCGAGGAGGACCAGCTTTGGCAGTCGCTGGGGGATGCCTGGAACATTCCCAGGTGGGAAGTCCCGCCCTGCCGCCCGATTGGTTGAAGATTGCTGGTGATGTCATACCTCATGTAAACTGTAAACTCCAAAGATCAGGAGTATCAGACTCCCGTCTGATTCATCGCATTTATCAAAGTTATCACCGTTGCCAAACTGATGTTATCTTTTTGTTCGGCCAGATGGCTGCTGAATTATCTGTATTATCATTGCCTTATCTGCCTTATTGCTGGAGTATTCAGTAGGAACTAGACCTTAAAGAAAAGGTTGCAGGTTTTCAGTCATCCAGATGTAAACACACAGTGAAGAATTAGAAACAATACATAAGAGCAACAACACAGGCAGACACTAAGTATTATTCCATAAACAGCCATGTTGCTTTGGTCCAGTCCTTTTGGGACTGTAGGCCTGAACAAACTCCCTTCCTTGGGCGGTTTTTGCGTTGCTCTGTTATTAATCTGTTATTAGTCAGTGAGGGTATTTTCTCCATAGAAATATATAAATTGTGAGAAAGCAGTGAAATTAATTTCATCCAACTCAAGCACATCCCTCAGGCATTTCACAATCAGAATACACAAAGTGAGTGCTCCCCCATGCTGAAAGTGGTATGGTCTGTTAGGACCTTTTATCAGGTTCTATTCCTCGAGTGTTAGTGGTGTGCCATGGGGGCGGGGCTTAATTCAGGGGGCGTGGCTCCATGTGACCAGGTGACCATCTGTGTGCTTGCAGCTCTGCGTGGCCAGATGAGGATACGGTCCCTCCTTACACCCCAGAGTTTACTGATGGTTGGCAGCCTCCATCAGTAGTCAATGAGAGCCAGGCCACGCCCCTAAAGAAAGGACCCCGCCAACGTCAGGTAAAACAAAAAGAAAAAGCCAGCAGTGGTCATACGTGGAAACAGGGGCTCTGGTGGATGGTATTAGTAGTATTTATTGGCTTACTGAACTTCCAGGCTCCTTCTGATATCAACTTTGGCATGAAGTGAACAATGTGAGCTGAGGCAGAGGCCTTTGGAAAACTGAGGCAGAAGCCGAGACCTTTGGCAAACTGAGGCTGGGGGCTTAGGAAAACTGAGGCTGAGGCCTTTGGTAAACTGAGGCTGAGGCCTTTGGCAAGCAGAGGCAGAGGCCTTTGGATAACTGAGGCAGAGGTTGAGGCCTTTGGTAAACTGAGGCTGGAGGCTTTGGAAAACAGGTAGAGGCCTTTGGCAAACTGAGGCAGAGGCTGAGGTCTTTGGCAAACTATATGTATAAATCTAAAAGATGAGACCATTTCATCTGCTCTGTAACTGAGTGCTGTAATTTGACATAAACCCAGGCCTGCATTCCAAGGTGAAAATAACAATGCTTGGCATTTGTGACGTTGCATGGATTTAAAAAGCCAGCATAAAGTAGCTTGACGGTTGACCTTTGATTCTGAGCTCCAGAAATCTATTATACCTTGTAGATCTTGGCTCATCCACATTATCATCAAATTAAGCACCAACATAAACGTGACAGAAGATTTCTACAGTGAAATTGGCCAAAATAAATCAGTAATATGCTTTAAAAAAATACACATGTCAACTCATGCAGCAAAATGCTTAACTACTGACCCAAGTCTGTTCATTCTTATTTTATTTCTCTGATAGAACACCGGCTTCCGTAGCTCAGCACCAATCAGGTATCCAACCCTAATTTCTAAACCCTCTGTCTGTGCTAATCCAGCAATGAAATCAATGAAATGAATATTTCTCTGTCATTCAAACCCATAGAACCTTGACCCGATATTTTTCTTAATTATGGCAGGAGTGTCATGTCTTTAGTTTATCACTAATTATAAAGGATGAACTATCTGATATCTGTGTAGGAACATGGCTGTTGCTTAAGCTGATGTGTCTGTTTGTGTGTGTTTGTGTGTTTGTGGGGGGTGGGGGGGCTCGGGGCAGTGCTGCTGAGGGATCTTCCCAATACATGCGAGCGATGTATGACTTCACGGGCAGAAACCACCAGGAGCTGAGTGTCTTAAAGGGCGATGTGGTGCAGGTAAGCTGGGAAGAGAGGGCTGGGCAAAAGGTCAGAGTGCATTGTTTACTATATCAGGCCTGACTAATGGACCACCATGTTTACTATACCAGACCTGAGCAATGGACCACCGTGTTCACCATATCAGGCCTGACTAATGGACCACCATGTTTACTATATCAGGCCTGACTAATGGACCACCATGTTTACTATACCAGACCTGAGCAATGGACCACCGTGTTTACCATATCAGGCCTGACTAATGGATCACCGTGTTTACCATATCTGACCTGAGCAAGGCACCACCGTGTTTACCACAGCAGACCTGACCAATGGATCTAAGCTCTCTAGCATTACAAAATTATCCTCCTAATTCAGCATCTTCCTGCCCTACTGGTTCTTAGGTGCTGGACCAGTCCAAGCAGTGGTGGAAAGTACGGAATGATAAGAACAAGGAAGGTTTTGTGCCCAACAACCTACTGGAATACATGGAAGCGGAACCTACCCAGAACGAAGCCTTGGTCAGAGCCTTGTGTTAGTTAGCAGTTAGCACCTTTAGCTAAAGCAAAGGACAAACACATACGATTTTACAATTTCATTCGTACTAATGGGTGTTTATTATTGATGCATAATAGTTATATACAGTACCAGTCAAAAGTTTGGCAAGGGAGAGTGATAATGTTGGATCACATGACCTGGCCATCTGACCGAAACACAATAGAGATAGTTTTGGAGGAGTTTGACCAGGGAGTGAAGGAAAAGTGGCTAATGAATGCTCAGCATATATGTGGGACCTCCTTCAGACAGCTGGAAGAGCATCCCAGGAGGCCACCTCATGAAACTGGCCTAAAGGAGACAGTAGGATCAGCCAGTCCCTGGAACAGTTGGGGTTATGGGTCTTGCTCAAGGACCCAATCTTTTGACCAGAGCATCCTTTGAACCAGCAACCTTCTGAGTCCCAACCCAGAGTGCTAGTCAATGCATAATTTGTATATGCTATTTTATAGTTTTGATGTCTTTATTCTAAATTACAAATAAACCTATGGGTAGGTGTGTCCAAACATTTGACTGGTACTGTACAGTACATATCGGAATATTCCGGTAAACAGCTTGGCCTGTTCCTGCATGCATTTTTTTTTATATCCTGTCTTCTCCAGCAGGAAACAGGCTCCCCTGCTACTCTCACCAAATGGTCCAAACCTCAGGATGTGAAGGACTGGCTGGAAGGCCTGGGATTCTCACCAGTGTGAGCCTGCATTTGTGTGTGTGTGTCTGTCTGTCTGTAGGTCATGTATATATTACGTTGTGGGGACATAAAAACTTGTAATTTTGAGGTTGTGGGGACCATTTATAAGGTCCTCACAAAGATCTGTGAATGCAGTCGAACAACTAGAAGTGCCAGAAGGTTTGTATTTTGTTTGGTTTCTTATGAATAAGGTTAGGGCTGGGTAGGGGTTAAGGCTGTCATAGCTAGGATTAGGATTATGCCCATAGAAATTAATGGAGTCCCCTCTAAGATATGAATATGTGGACTGTGCATTATTTGTGTGTGTGTGTGTGTGTTTATATATAAATATAGTAGACATAAACATACCAAGGCAAGGTGGCAGTGTGAGATTGTGGGAGTCATTTACTCTGTATTTGTATGTATGTGTCTATGGATTTATATTGCACTTGTTTGTGTGCTCATCTGCTCTCACACACGTCCTGCAGAACGGTGCGCAGTCTGAGCGTGCTCAGTGGGTCCCTGCTCCTGGGGATGACCTGGGAGGAGCTAAAGACCATGTGTCCAGATGAAGGGGGGCGGGTCTTCTCCCAACTCCAGGCCGTTAAGGCTGCCCTGGTGGTGAGTGACAGCCTCAACATCCAATGCATGTACAACTTTTTCACCACAGGTGAAAATCATGATACGATATTGACTGCTTAGAACAGGAGTGGCCAATCTTATCCGCAAAAGGGCCGGTGTGTATGCGGGTTTTCGCTGCAACTCCCTAATTAGATTACTAATTAGAGGTCTGATTGGCTGAAGAGTCCTCACACCTGGGTTTGAACAGCTGACCTACAGGTTATCCCAAAAACCTGCATACACACCGGCCCTTTGTGGATAAGATTGGCCACCCCTGGCTTTGAACTTACCAGTCTCTCGCCATCTCGACTGCCTACTAGTGAGGAGCATGGGCAGAAGGAAGGAAGACACATGAGGATGACCTAGATCTTTCATCAAAGTTCTATCACAGCTGACATGGTGGGAAGAGGATACGATATGCCAGTGGCTTTGGGCCTGTGAGTTTCCAAAAGCCCTGGCTCCAGAGGCACTGTAACGTGTGTGTGTGTGTGTATATATATATATAAAACCAGAGTGTGTGTGATCAGATCTGTGCTGTGGAGATATGGAGCAAATCCCTGGGCTGTTTTTGTGGAAAATGTCACAAAGTGTATAATTGGAAGAAGCTTCAATTAAAAATTCTTGACCTACAATGTGCCAGATGTTCCGTACATTCTGACAGCTTCCCTTTAAGGTCTGGGCACCGTGTTAATGATATTGGAAATGTAGTGCTATGACTGAATAGGTATAGTATTGGAAAAAATGTGCATTTCCATTACAAAGAAAAGAATGAACTTATCCTGCAATTTTACATTCAGTATATTTTAGAAGTAACCAGCTAGCCAAAGCTAATGACATGAATTTTCAGCTTTTGGGATTTCAGTCATTTATGCATCGGGATATTAATGAAACTCTTCACTTTAAGTTACATTCTAACAATATACAACACTAGTCCCCTAACTGAGATGTCAAACTACTAACTTTTGGTCACAATATGAAGTGTATATTACCCGTAATTACACACAAACACAGGCCTTTACGTTAACTGCTGCTGATCAGCCGTGTCAGATGCTGGGTTTGGTCCAGTTTGTACCAGTAAGTAGGCTCCTCAAAAAGAAGACAGCGGTATTGGTGACGTAGTGCAAAGCTTGTCTTAAAAATGTAGGTGTAGTTGAAGTGGAGGTACCCAGGTTGAAGGAGGGGGGCCGTGTCTGCGCTGCGGACGCGCTGAAGAAACCGGCTTCGCCTTGAGGCCCATGGAGACCCAGGGTGGAAGACATGACAGCAGGGCAAGTGAGGCGGACTAAACATGCTTTATTTGTTTAATATATTAAACATTACACCTGTGCCAACTCATGCACGTCAGTCTGTGTCTCACTGGAGACGGCGACTGCATCAGGGCGCCAGAGGAAAAGCAATAAACAGAACTACGTCAGAATCGCAGATGACTAGAATGGAAACCGTGAAGAAAAATAAAAGTACTAAAATAAGTACCATGTATTGGTGCGTACATCTCAGAGTCCGTCTTTGCCACCAAACGGAGGAAGGAAGACCCCGGCATGCTGTCTGTTACCCAGAAACCTTTGCAGGCTGAGAGATTCAAGGATGCTGCAGTCACCTGTCTATTGTGAGAACAGGGGCCGTAGCAGTGTGAACTGGTAACAAAAGCACCAGGCGCCTTGTCTACATACGGCCTGCAAAAAGGTTGTGGGTTTATATATCTCAGCTGTGCTTTGTTTTCTTGCTCATCTATTCAGGGAAACTTACATGCCACTTACACTTAGACAAGGAAATGGGGCCACGTTTGGTGCTGGTGTGAACGGTTTGTGTCAGAGATGACCTGGGTTTGGGCAACCAGGCACAAAAGCAGAGGAAGCAGGTGTGCAAATATGGTCGCACTAGTGTCCACACACTTTCAGGCCTGTGTGTGTCAGTATGAAATCGTAACCTTGCACTGCACACTGCAAAGGATGAACAGCTCAGGCTTCTGCTCCGGCGACGCAAAGAACAGGCCTTGGTTTGAGCAAAATCAAAAGCATTGATACACAGACTTAAGAATGAATCTGTCCTGCTCTGACGTGCATATCAAAATATCATCGCCAACTTTCTGGAGCGACAGTGAGAAAATAAAAATGGAATTAAAATCATGACAATTGCACTGGGACCCCGGGAACCTACCGTGATAAGATGTACGTTGACGACAGAATCGTCCCAGAAAAAACTATTGGTTCCATAGATATATTAATATTATAAAGTATATCTCTCCATAGCTCTTAAAAAAATAAATTCTGTGGTTTATGGAATTGAAGGAGCCACACTAAGGATCTGCGCACACATCTTAACCAACAGATTCGTGGTAAATGACCTCACAGTGTATGTATGATATCAAGGCAAATGTGAATGTTTTCACAGCAAATGACCCTACAGTAAATGCCCATCGTAGAGAATTCCCTTACTGTGACTTACTTCATAACGGGTGACTTCACAGTAATGACTTCCTTCCTAATCACTTGTCCTTCGCTCAGAATTGTCTCACTGTGAATGTCCCTACTCAAAATTCAAATGAGCTCACAGTAAATGCCCTTCATGTGAATGACTTGCAACAAATGACCTCACAGAGAACAGCGTGAAAGATGAGCATGTATATGATGTCACGCGCGCTGTGAAATCTCTCGCAAGCATGGCTCTCTGCCCGGGATGCGCAGCATGTATGATAAAATACATATTAAAAAATGTGGATGTGAGGAATAATCAGTGTCCCTCAGCAGGACGATGCCTCTCTGTAAGATGGTCAGTGTCGATGGTGCCGCAGGACACTGGAGGAGCTGGCAGCTTCCCGTCCCTGGGCGGCTGTCTCTCATGGCTGCTCGCAGCAGATTTAACTGTGCGTCGTAAACATACTTCTATAGTTTTGTAAAACACCGTGCAGCTAATGCAGGATCTGCCTCAGTGGGCAGTGCTACATGCAGAGGTGACGAACCTGACCCAGAGTCAAGGCGGAGTGGACAACAGTCGCAGGGGAATCACATTACTCTCGTCTTCAAAAATGGCTCCTTCCTACATCAAGCCTACAACTTTGGGGGAAAAAACGTTGGTCAACATATCAGTACCGTAAGGTAACCCATGCAGGGTAGACTGTGCTAGCAACACCCTACAGCTCAAGGTAACTGTCGTCTAACAGTGTCAGCAGTTGTAGTGAGACTTCTGAGGAGAAACCTGTGGAATGTTTGTCAGAACAAATGACGACAAATTAAACAAGAAATACAGACAAGAGGCCACAGCAAACAGCGGCAAAGGTACGGGAGATGGAGGGCTTCCTCCCAGTGGTGAGCAGTGCCCAAAGCTGACTGGGGGCACGGCCGCACAGTGACAGGGGCCGCACGGTAACTCGGGCCGTATGGTGACAGGGGCCGCATGGTAACTCGGGCCGCACTGTGACAGGGGCCGCACGGTAACTCGGGCCGTATGGTGACAGGGG